GGGGGGAGGTACTCACGAAAGCGCATGCCGTAGTCGTTAGACCATTGACCTCGCATCCTTATACCACCCGGACGGAGCGATACGCATTCCGGATTTTCGGCGGTCCAGGCTATACCGTATATGACAGAAGATAACACACCCCCTGGACCAATTTTCAAAGCTCGATTACTCCACGATGAAGAGAATGCATAAACGAAACGATACATTACTGGAAAGCTCTCGACGAGACGGTTCCAACGCCGCCGTTTTCGACACCGTGACTCTTTCTGTTGTTGAGAAATCGATATTTGAAAATCGGTCCAGGGGGGGGTTTATCTCGTGTCATTTACGGTATGCGTTTCACAAGGATGAACCAGAAGCTATTTAGTCGTCAGCCTTGCGTTTGCTGTGCCATGGGGGGGACGCGGACAAGATTCTAGTTGAGGCGGTACGTCTAGACACGTCTCACCACGCCCCACACCCCACAAGCCTTTCTCACGACTAGTTCGCTTAGTGCAGTACTCAACAAGAGGCACCATTGTGTGTCCCTGCCGATGCCCCCCCCCGCCCAATGCTGATGCATGCTCAAAGGAGTCGCCTATTCTCGCCGCGCCACCTGCCGCCGTCCAGCAGCATCAGCAGCATCAGCAGCAGCATTTTCGCCGCCATGATGAACCCGCTCAACTCCTATGGTCGAAGGCTTAACCCCAACATCTTGCCTTGCTCCGCTCCCATAGTACAGAACACACCCGAGCCAGCTGCTGGTGGGGAACAGGTGGTTCGCAGCTATCCGTTGTTGTTTGTCTTCACATTCAAAACCACTCAGGTCTCCGCTCGGTACCTTCCAATATCCGTGGCCTTCTCTTGTTTGTTTTAGACCCATCAGGAAAGAGCCGCTCCCACCCATGGTACAGTACGGTACGGTACACACCTGAGCCAAGTGGTTATGGTAGGTGGTTCGAAGCTGCGACAGCAAGACCGATCCCACAATGGAGCGAATCTCTCTCTGACCATGCTCCAGCGTCGCCGCGTGGCGCTGGCTGCTGCGGGTGTACTCCCTGGAATCGAAGTCCTCGTGCCAGCAAATGAGCTCCTCGACGTCCTGCAAGAAGATGACAAGAAAAAAAAAAAACGGTCCCAACGCTTAGAAGTCTGCATGTGAAGCACATGAGAGGGGGACCCGGTGCTCTGCAAATCAGCTCCTTCACGTCCGCCAAACAAAGAAAGAACATCGATCGTGTCTCACGCTCACACAGCCTGCACTTGTGTGATGTGACCGTCCGTCTTCGAAGTCACACTACCGTATATGACACAAGATAACACACCCCCTTGACCGATTTTCAGAGCTCGATTTCTCATTAACAGGAAGAGTCACAGCACCGTATATGACACAAGATAACACACCCCCTTGACCGATTTTCAGAGCTCGATTTCTCATTAACAGGAAGAGTCACAGCACCGTATATGACACAAGATAACACACCCCCTTGACCGATTTTCAGAGCTCGATTTCTCATTAACAGGAAGAGTCACAGCACCGTATATGACACAAGATAACACACCCCCTTGACCGATTTTCAGAGCTCGATTTCTCATTAACAGGAAGAGTCACAGCACCGTATATGACACAAGATAACACACCCCCTTGACCGATTTTCACAGCTCGATTTCTCATCAACACGAAGACTCACAGCGCCGAAAACGAGGGCGTTGGAACTTGTCTCGTCGAGAGGTTTTCGAAAAGGTATCGTTTCGTTTATGCATCCCCTTCGTCGTGGAGTAATCGAGCTTTCAAAATCGGCCCAGGGGGGTGTTATCTTGTGTCATATACGGTTCGTAGCGAGTGACCGTAAACACAGAAACACACAGACTAAACGAGCGGGTTCCTGGTTCTGCAACAATCTCGCCCTTGTTACGACTGACGTGTGGTATGCACAAATATCACACACAAAGGCACAACCACCTCTATCGGGCAGCTCAGGAGGGCCTTCTGTCCCGTGAGGTCTCCTGGTACGGGACCGATTCGTCCCGCGAACGGCCAGAAGAGATCGGGCAGGAACTCATCGTCGTTATCGATGTCGGCAAGGTCCATCTTGCAGGTGAGGATGTCGAACGCCGTCACCACGTTGTGCTTGCAGTCGGCGCAGAACCTGTAATTTTAAATAGTGGTGTGAGGGTGGTAGGGGGGGGGGGGGGGGGGG